GATTTACAGAACACCGGCTACTAATTAGGCTGGGGATTATTAAAAAAAAAAATCTTGATGTTATTTTTATAAGCCGCTGTCAACTAAATACTAATCAGGATGAAAACAGAGCTTTTCTAAATTTTAGCACAGACTGGTGGGACGTGGAATTATTTCTATTCCCCTCACATTTCCCCCGACAGAGACAATAACACATTGCTCCTGGAGCACAACTATCATTTAATATGAAACAATGTGGACAACGACCACAGATCTGTAAGTACTGATGACAATGGGCTAAGGAATGCAGTGCTCTGGTACTTCTCGCCCACAAGAGGCTGATATTCATGGATATTCATGAGATATCTAAAAATACAGTGTATTCATACCTCTAAGAAAACCATCCTTTAGTTCTCTCCTCATGCTCATAAGATATCCTGTCTGGTTTCAATGCAAGAGTTTCATGACTTTAACTGTCTTCTATATTATGAAGATTTTCTTTTTTTATATATATATTTTTTTCATTTATTTCTAGGAGAGAGAGAGACACAGCGTGAGCAGGGGAGGGTCAGAGAGAGAGGGAGTCACAGACTCTGAAATAGGCTCCAGGCTCTGAGCTGGCAGTCAGCACAGAGCCCGACGCGGGGCTCGAACCCACGAACCGCGAGATCATGACCTAAGCAAAAGTCAGACGCTTAACCGACTAAGCCACCCAGGCGCCCCATATATTATGAAGATTTTCTACTCATGATCTATTTACAGGTTGTTGAAGGGAAATATGGCTTCCAGTATTGGTTAAAGCCAGTTTCACGTTAGAGAATGGCAGATAATTTTTAAAGGCATTTCAATATTTAGCAGCAAATTGTTTAGTAATAAATGTTTTTGATAAATTAATGCTATGATGTATATAGATCACTGACTTAATAAAATGGAAAAACAACTTTACTTTACGTAACTACATAAACAAATTAAAATAATTTCTTTAAAATAATATTATGTAGGGGCGCCTGGGTGGCTCAGTCAGTTGAGCATCCAACTTCTGCTCAGGTCATGATCTCGCGGTTTGTGGGTTCGAGCCCTGTGTCAGTCTCTGTGCTGACAGCTAGCTCAGAGCCTGGAGCCTGTTTCAGATTCTGTGTCTCCCTCTCTCTCTGACCCTCCCCTGCTCACGCTGTCTCTCTCTCTGTCTCTCAGAAATAAATTAAAATTTTTTTAAAATTAAAAAAATATTATGTAATACAGAGTGTGTCAGAAGCGCTATTTTAGTTGTTTTTGTAACATCACCTGTTACAGCCATAGAGAAACAACCTTGAGGATGCCAATACTGAAGATGAATTAATGGAACAGTCTGGAGGATCTGGAGCTTTATAATTTTTTATATGGAACCATGAGGACACAGACAAATGCCACCTGCTTTTGAATCAGAAGAGCAAGTGTCCGATACCAATTCTTTGAAGGGTTCTGGGAATCTTTCTTAACCATTCATTGTTACAGGTTGCAGGTATAAGGAAACTAATGTCGTCTTCACTGGGTTCAAAAAGTATGAATTCTGCCTTACCTTCTGTTTGTGGCCTCTATTTGGATGCTAACCTTGAAGAAAGTGTGGCAAGCACCCTCTTCTGGGCCAGGCCATTTGACTTATAAAGCCATCAGTTTATAACCACTCCCTTTCAAAAGAATCACGTCTTGCAATCTGACCATATGTATGCTCGACCTTCCTTGGAGAAGCTGAGCCGTTCCCATATATGGGTTCTTCTCAGAAAGAAAAACCTTGTGGGTCTCCCCCCCCCGACAATGTTAGGGAAGCAACATTACCCAGCAGGCGGTGCTTTTCAGAAGTGAGAAGTCCCTTTGCCAAGCGAGGAGAATGCGGTGGGGAGTTAAAAGTATTTCTGTGTGTCCGTGTAGGAAAATGAATAGAATTTTCAGGGAAAAGTGGCCGCCACCGCCCAGGAGGGTCAGGGCCATGGTGCAAAGGCCACATCATAACCCGTCTCCGTCTCTGGGTGAGTGAACAGAGGGCCAGGGCCAGGACAGGACACTCATGCCCTCAGCGCTGAGGCCTCAGCAGACATGGGACCTCAGCCCCAGACTAGAGAGGACTGAAGCTCATGAATCAGAGAGGCGAAGAGGCCCTTATTTCTGAGAATTTGACTTTAAACACAGACATACTGGCCCCTGGGTTGGGCGGAGGGGAAGAATGAGGAAAGTTATAAAAAGTTTGGATCTCTGCCCCCTCTCACGGACTCCCCCTCACTTTCTTCTGGGATTTCCTTCCTGAATTTCCTGCAAGAATCACTTGTCTAGCAAAATTTCGGGGGTCACTTCCTTGGCCCAGTAATCAACTTGGGCAAAGAGGACGAAACATGTCAGACATACCTGAGTGGATGCATTTAGCAAAGACCGTTTCTGTCCTCCGTCTTCAAATGGCAACTGAGAAATGGGGTGATGTCCCTGAAAATATGTTTTCAACGGTGTTACTGTTTCACGGAATTGCTTTATCATTTTCCTAAAGAAGATATATTTTCTGGATGCAAAACATGATCACCATCCCGTCTGAAAGGCTTCAACGTTCTGCTGTCCACGTGCGGTGGTGACCACTTTTCACGCACGCGCCGGGCCCTGAACATTTGTCATTTTATCCGCAAGCCTGCTGGCGGCTCTAAGCAGCTGCTGGCCCCGCTCGGGTGGCTCGTGCGGCTTTGCAGTTGGGGCGCTTCTTCCTCAGCTCCGCTCCCACCCGCCCCCCAACCCCCGCGCAGCCCCACGATCACTCCCGAGTCCGTGACTCCCGCGGGACCTTCTTCCTACTTCGCCCTGCGCCCCTTCACAGGTACGCACGTGGCCAGGTACACTCCGGGCCGGGGGGGGGGGGCTCCTCCCGGCGCCCCGTCCGCCCGCGCACCCGCTCTTTCCGGAGCTCCTAGCCTCTCCCCCCCGCGCCGCCGCCGAGTCCGGCCGACTTGGGTACCTGCGGGCGCGCAGTCTGTCGGTCGGTCTGTCCGTCTCTCTAGGTCTCCGTTCCCTCCTGCCCCGGCTGCCCACCGTTCATTAAATGGATGGACACGCGCGCGCGCGCGCACGCACACACACACACACACAAGACACAGACACACACACACAGACACACACACACACACACTCCTTCTACCCACTTTTACCCACGTCAAGGACTTTGCCTGGAATCCAGAGACCGAAAGCTCGCTGCACGGTGTCTGGAGGTTGCGTCTGGGCTCTGGGCGCCCCCTCCCCACCCGGCGCGGGGTCGCCTCGCTGTCCCTCCGGTCACCGCCCCTCGCGGCCCCGCCGCCCGCACGCGCGCCCCCACGTGGGCGTCCGCGGCCGCAGCAGCAGCAGCAGGTGCCGCGAGCGGGAGGCCGGGCCCAGAGCCCCGCGGCGGCCGCAGCCCTGCGCCGGCGCTCTCCCGCCCCCTCCCTCCCTCCCGGCCCGCTCGGCTCCCCCAGGCCTTCTGAGGTGACCCCAGCCTTCGCGTCTCCCCGCCTCCCCGCCGTCCGCCCCCGGGGTCCTTCCTACCCCGTCTCCCCACCCCTCACCATCAGCCCCAGCCGGGGCCCCGGGCCGCCCTGGGGAGGGGGGGGGGCGCCCGAGGTCTGGGACCGCCGAGGCGGGTGGTGGCCGGCCTCGCGGTGGCCTGGGGGTCCGGCCGGCGGCCGCGGTGGCGCGGACAGTCCGCAGCGGCCGGGGGAGGGCGGGACGCGGCCGGCGGGGAGGAGGTGGTGCTGCGGCGGCTGGGGAGGGACCCCCTCCCCCGCCTCCCGCGCGCCCCTGGCCTCCGCGGGGCCACCCGCTGGGTACTGTTCCTTCTTATTCATTTATGCGCATTTTACTAGCTGGGGCTTTCCCGGGGCTGTTTCCCCAGCAACTCTTTTCTTCCCCTTCTTGAGTTTAAGGCGCCGCGCGCGCGCATCTGTGCGGCTGGCGGCGGGTAGGAGGTGTTCTGCGTTGGCCTTGGGGATTTTACACCTCTCGGGGGAGAGGAAGGCGTCTTCGCAGCTGCCGTGCGCTGGGGCGACCTCCACGTCAGGCCAGGCGGTTAACCGCGAAACTTTTACTGCCGCCTTCGCCTGCGGCGCGCCCCTCCCTGCGCGCTCTCCCCGCGCGAGAGCGCAGCGAACGGCGAACGCCTCCCCCCGACCCCGCTAAGAGGGAGAACCCGCTTGCTCTAGGCAGATGCGGTGTAACGGGCGGGAGACACCCCAGCCGCGACTTCCAGCCCGTGCAAAGTGAAAACCGAACCCCAAAGGGAATTTTCCCGCGGGCGCCCCTCCCCCCGGCTCGCCCCTCTTCGGGCCTCGGGATCCAGCTCGGGATGTGCCGGCCCCCTCCGGGCCCCCGCGGCTCGCAGCCGGGCGCTCCCCCCCCTCCCCCGCCCCTCCCCCCCGGGATCCGAGCGGGTGTGATGTCCTTGCCGCCGCCGCCGCCGCCCCATTCCGCCGCGCACCAGCCCGGGGGGCGCCGGCCGCGCGCAGCCGCCCCGCTCGGCCCCGGCGCCGGGCTCCGCGGAGGGTCGCGCAGCCCAAGGCTGTGACTCAGGCGCCCACTTGGTAACTCTGCCATCTTCCTGCTCCTCCCCTCCCCCCGCCCTCCCTGCCTTCCCCGCCCCCCTCGGCCACCCCCGTTCCCCTCCGCCACCCTCACGCCCTCCTCCCAGACGCCCACCCGCCCGCTCGTCTCTCCGCAAGATCGCAGAGGTGGCGCGGAGCCCTGCGAGCCGATGACGGACCCCTTCCTCCCGCCTTCAATGCCTCAGCGGAAGGTCCCCCAGGGCCGGGGAGACGAAGGCTGCCGCTGGACCCCGACGCGGAGAGCTCGCTCCGACCCGCTGCTCGCGGTGTATGAGGCCGGGGACTGAGCGCGCCCCAGCCGCCGCCGCCGCCGCCCGCCCCGTCGCTGCCGTCGGTGTGGACCGGCCCCCGCCTCGCCGCGCCCGCCGCCCGGCCCCGGCCCCGCTCCCGCTCCGGGCGCCCCGGGCTCGCCCCGCGCCCGCCGCCCGCGCGCCCTCCCGACAGCTGCGGCGGCGGCGGTGATGCGCGGGAGGAGGCTGCTGCCGCCGGCCCAGCTGATGGCGGCGGCCGGCGCCCGGGTGTGATGCGCGCGCCACGGCGGGGCTGCCGGCTTCGCGGCGCCGAGGGAGCGAGCGGGAGCGAGCCCGGGGCGGAGGACGCCGGAATCCGGCTCTGGCTGCTGTGCGGGGGCTCGGATCTCTCTCCCCTCCCTTCTCTCCCCCCCCCCTCCGCCCCTTCGTTTGGTTCTCGCTTTGCACGTTGAAAGCCCCCCGACTCCGTCCCCTCCCGACCCCTGGAAGTCTTCCCGGCTCTAAATGGAATTAGTGGAGACCGGCGCCTCTGGTGTAAGGCACAGACATGATCCATGGACGCAGTTTGTTGCACCGTGAGTAGCTCTCCGGCCGCGCGGGCCCCTGGCGGGCGCCCCTCCCGCCCTCCGAGCGCGTGGCCGAGCGCGCAGCAGACGCGGGGCCGCCGCGCTCCGGCCGGGCCGCCGTCCCCGCCAGTCCGGGCACCTGTAAACTTTCCGGCTTAGCACGCGGGCCGCTGCGCCGGGGCCCGGGCTCCGCGGGGGCAGAGCAGCCTCGGGGGCTGCGGGGACGTCCCGGGGGCGAGGCGAGCACGTGCGGGGCCGGTGCGGGCGCAGGAGCCGGGAGGCAGCGCGCGGGGCCGTTCGCGGGGTGCGAGGCATCGCCCCCGCTCCGGCGCCGGTGCGGCTCCGCGGGCCCACGTCTCCACTCCAGGAGGGAGTTCGGGGGGCGCCTGAACGCAGCGTCTGCGGGCCGGCGGGGTGCCAGCCTCGACTCCCGCGGCCCCACCGCTCCGCCGCGTCCCGGCTGTGCGGTGGCCGCGCGAGCCGTAGAGCGGAAAATGGCTTCAGAAGTCCTGGAGTGAAAGGCGGTACAAGAACACCGTGCGGTGGGAATTTGGGGTTCAAAAGCAAGGATCCTGTGCCACGCAGTTAGAAGCCCGGCTTTGGGGACGTGTTATTCCTGGTACTTAGTCCACCGTGTGATGCCGCCGACACAGGGAAAGCAAAGTAAAGACACACATCCTGATATTGATGGCCGTGCACCTGCGGGTCTGTGTGTGCATAGACTCAGGGCAAGATGAAATGAGAGGATTTTTTGTTTTTCTGTTTAAACGCAGACAACAGCAACTAATGTTTGGCTCCCAAAGATCATCAGGCAGAAGTACAAAGTAAAATAATGGATGTACTTTCTCAGATACTGAGAAAAAGGCCTTCATGTTTTTCTTGGAATAATAATCTAATCTTAAAACGTACATTTGTAAGCTCCTGCAGGCGTGCTTCAGTTTAGGAAAACATTGGGAATTATACTCTCCCTTCCCCGAATTCATTGTTAAGTGGAGGTGGGATTATACACCTAATGGAACGTAGAGCTTTTAGGGAATTGGGCAACAAAATAAATAACAACGCTGAAGTAGAAGAGGAAAACCCAGACATCCTGAGGACCAGATTGTCGTATTCCTTTTCTGGTTTCAGGTTTTATAAAAATGTTGAGTAAATCAAGAAATGCAAGTACAACGAAGTTCAGGTTGCAGTAGTCCTTTGCAGATGTACTCTTTGATACCGAAAGATGGGCTCAGTAAAATGCTTCTAGAAACCCCCTTTCTCAAAGTGAGAATCGATTTCTGGATACTACTAAATATTCAGTGAAAGTTAAGGTTAGAGGAAACTAATTTCATAGCTTCGGGGCTGCTGAGGACAGGGGTTACTGGTGGCACAGTCCCTTTTTCTATGAAACGGTTTCATAATGCTGCCTAATGCCTCCAGTCCACACTGGTCTGTTTCTCCTGTGCCCCTCCTCCACCTGCCATGAGCTCTGCCTAAGTATTTATTTTCTGAAATACAACAACAGAGGCACTGTTTTTCTGTCCCTCTTGGCCTCATTGTTTGACTTTTAGCCTTTCACCTGGTTTACACTCTTCCTTCAGAGACGCTAGGAAATTCATTCCAGAAGGGCATTTTGGACACAATGTGGGTCCTGATGTCCTACTGTAATGTGACATTAGCAGGTTACAGTATCCCCTCTGAAGACTTGAGGTGCTCCTTCGCAGTTCAGGACTCCGCCGTTCTTAATTTGCATGACTTCCCGGAAGGGATTCCTAAATTTTCCTGACTTGCACATTTGTAACCAGTTTTCGCCTGTTCTCAGTTAGCTTGGAACAGTTAACAATAATACCGTGAATCGGCTCTGATATTATTTTAGCTTTCTGCTGTTATAGAATGTGATCATCTCAGTGTGTATTAATGTGATCTCTTTCTGATTCTTCTTTTCTGTTTCAGTTGTAGCAAGTTTAATCATCTTCCATTTGTCTGGCGCAACCAAGAAAGGAACAGGTGTGTTTCTTTGGGGAAAATGCAGTGGAAGACCTCTAACTATTTATGTTTCCCTATTTTTCCCGTGTTCTTAATATTCCAGAATATCCGAACATTTTATAGTGTGTATAATTGATTGATTTTGACTAAGACAACATTTCAAAAGTAATTTACTAATGGATATTATAAGAATGTCCTCTCTATTTTCAGTCGTATAGAAAATTGGATGATGGCTCTTGTTTTCATTTTTTACAGAAAAGCAAACCGCCTCAGAAACTCAGAAGTCAGTGCAGTGTGGGACTTGGACAAAACATGCAGAGGGAGGGATTTTTACCTCTCCCAACTACCCCAGCAAGTACCCCCCTGACCGAGAGTGCATCTACATCATAGAAGGTAAGGGGGGGAAAGATCCAGAGCTTGGGAGAACTCCAAGCCAAACCTGGCCAGCTCTATGCTGTGGGTGGACAGAATGCCTCTAGCCCTCACAAAGATTGGTTTTGCAGACCATGCACCTGCGTATCTCCTAATGAATCAAATAACTGTAAAATGTGGTATCAAGATAATTATTGAAATTATTAGTAATGGGTTAAGATGAGTAAAGCCTGGCAAATGAAAGGGAATCAATAGCAGTCTATGTTGCAGTTGATCTAATTGATCCAGAGTTCTAAATTTATGAAACGGATGCACAGTTGACATAATAATACCTGATGTATAACAGTTCTGGAAACTAGCATTTTATTGGTTAACAGCTATTAGAATAACCTACACGGTTGCTATTTTTTTCTTTGATAAAGTACCAAAATACATATTTATGTCAAAAATACATCTGTACTCATGGTCCCAAACAATCTGAATGATAGTTCCCTTCATTTGTGCTAACAGGTGACATTATCATACTTTAATGCCAAAGTCAGGATTCCAGAGGATGATGCTTCCTTTCATCATTTTCTTTCCTGACTCAAAAGATAAATAGTGCTGAAAAAGAGATTCATTTCTCTTCAAACATTTCCAATTTCCATTATCCTTGTAGACACCACTCGATTAAGTACAGCTTTCTAGAATAAATGATCGTTTCATCTAGTGATGAAGATTTCAATATTGCAAGTGTGAATACCTAATAGCCCCAAACCTGCAACCCTTCCCCGCCCCCCACCCACACGGGCACAGACCTATGGAGCTCCCTTAATGAGAAAGACAGCATATGTTCAATATCTGCTTCTACACGAAGGGCAGGCTCATTTGGTAGAGTCTTTCAAAGAAAAGGCTTTCTGTTCAACTGATTGCAAGAACTTCTATCTAGAAAGGATTCTTTTATCTTTTTATAACTTTTAAACTAAGGATATTGCCTTTCTCTTCTTTGTGGTAGAGGTTGAACTTTCAGCAAAGATGCAGTGCGCTTCGAGAAGAAGGAAGGCCAGGAAGCTCTGATAGTGAAAGAATAAAACCGAGAAGTCTGAGCTCTGGCAGTTTTATTCCTCCGATGATTGATAGAAAAGGAAATTGAGATATGGAAATTCTGGGTTCGACTTAGTTGTCTTCTCTCCCAAGTTAATATTACTTATCTATCGTACGTCTATGAGTATGTATGCATATCTATGTATATAAAGCTTTCCAAGACCTTATCATAGAGTAAAACATTTATTCGAAGGAAGTAGGCTTTTGTTGTTGTTGTCCTCATTTTATAGACAAGGAAACAGGCTAAAGAGAGGTTACATGTCTGGCTTCAATCACATAATTTGTGTTTTGAAGAAACCGTATTTTAAAACTTCGGATTATTAAAAAGAATAACATCAACTACTCTCACTTAAAGGGTTCATTCAGAGGCATATTTTTGCATATTAATTGTGCTTTCGTGGTTACTATTATTTAGAATTAAAAAGCTTTGCCAGCATTTTATTTTAATCTCAGGCACATATTTACATTCATTCCTAGTTATGTCAAGGACAAACCTTAAAGTTGGGAAGTGGATAGAGCCCTGTTACTATTAGTCATACTTCTGCTCCCTTTTTGAAGTCCTCCCTACTAGCCATTCCTTTCCACCCATGCATTTATTTAACACATATTTTTTTTTTAAATTTTTTTAATGTTTTATTTATTTCTAGGAGACAGAGAGAGACAGCGTGAGCAGGGGAGGGTCAGAGAGAGAGGGAGTCACAGACTGAAACAGGCTCCAGGCTCTGAGCTGGCAGTCAGCACAGAGCCTGACGCGGGGCTCGAACCCACGAACCGCGAGATCATGACCTAAGCGAAAGTCGGACGCTTAACCGACTAAGCCACCCAGGCGCCCCTTAACACATATTTTTTGAACAACTACTAAGAAACGACCACTCTTCCAGGCACAGTTTAGAGAGCTTTTAACAAAACAACCATGGTACTTACTTGTCAGGCTTATAATACGGTCTGGGGACCATGCCTCTTCCAGTAAAAATTCTAACGGGGCCCCCAAATGAGCAGTGCTTAGAATAGTAGAAGGAAGATGAGGCTCGAAGGAGGAGCAGATACTTATGCTCCCCTTTGTATAACTCGCAGGAGATAATTCTCAATACAGCATCTGCAGAAGTGCAGAGATGTGGTGTGAAGGGGACCCGCAGGTAGCATCCTGTGGGCTTCTGCATAGGGTGACGAGAGGAACAGTGAAGAGGGCCCAAGAGGCAGAGAGTCTCAGAGAAAGGAGAACCTTGGTACAATCCATCTGCTCTACCCATGAAAGTCTGAACTTTATGTTCTAGACAATGGGATGTCACTGAAATAAATTAAGTGGAGAAATAATCCGATATTTTGTTGGAGTAACTGAAGGAGAAGAAGCAAGCAGAGATGATTGTGAAGATCACGTAGGAAAAGCCTGACCTGCACAAGGGACATTGGCTGTGGCGTCAACTGAAGAAGTGAGAGGTGTTTCGGAAACTGCGACATGAGTGGCTGGGTGTAGGGATGGGAGATAGGAAATCCCAAGACTGTTCCGCAGGCTTTGGCTTGGGGACATATAGATGGAATCGCCACGCCAGGTAGAGAGTATGGGTGGATAGAGAGGGCTTACGGGAGAAATAATGAGCTCCGTTTTGGTGTTTATGGAGATGCCTCATAAAGAAATTGGATATACGAGTCTTCAGCTTACTGGAGAGCTCTGTGCTGAAAATAGATAATTTATAGGTCATAAATATAGATTGTTGTTGAGGCTCTTAGAATGAATAAAATTATCCAGAGAGAGCATTTGGAGCACTATTTTTTAACATCTTGCAGAAAATACAGATGCCTGGGTCTGTCCCCAAGAACTCTGGTTTAAGCGGTCTTTGACGGAGCTGCAGGTATCATTAGATTGCGATAGCTCTCCATTGGGGTGCCAGTGGACTGAGCACTGGTCTAGAAAGAGCAGAAAGAAGATAGAGAAGAGTTCTGAAAAAACAGCATGTAAGGGGCTGGAGCGTGATGGGAAGGATAACGGGCCTGTGAAGGACAAGCCAGGGAGATGGACTGGAGACCACGTACAAAATGCCCCAGTACTTAGTGCGGGTGACATTTTAGGCAGAAGGGAGGAGCCCAGTGCCAGTTGTTAGAGCAAACGAAAATGAGGTAAAAGCAAACATTGCATGAGGCCGCTGAGAAGCTGCTAGTAACTTTAGGGAGTGTGCACTCATTGCCCCAGTGGGAGTGGGAGCTGGCACCCCGGAGCTGTGGGGGTGGGTGGGTGTTGATGGACCCATAGTGGAAAGGCAGTTACTTTCTTTGTCTTTGTCGTCTTCTTTCGGCGGGGGCCAGTTGCCACATTTAATTCTGAAAAGAATAGCCTGTTCTGTAGGAAAAGGTAAATTGAAAGTACAAGAAGGGGCTAAACTATCAGTTAAGCTTCTTGAGGTAAGGCAAGGTTCTGATAAACACGGGCAGAGTCCCAGTCGCGGAAAGGAAGACTCCTTCCGTGGATTCAGGTTGTCCTAAAATCCCCTCAAATCAGAGGCAATATTCTGTACCCTTGTTCAGGTGAAAGCGCCCAGAGTTTTCTGTGTGTCCAAAGACACGGTAAGACTTCTCAAAAAGGTACCTCAGATTTACGTACCAGATGACTTACAGAAGATGCTGCAGAGAAAGGCAGCTATGAATCGAGAGATTTGAAGGGAAAGAAAATGTAAGTGTAGGGAGGTGGACTTAGCTTCCAGCGGCTTACGTGCACTATAATCACTTGTTTTTAACTACAACAACATACTATTTATTGAGTGATTTGTCTGTTTATTTATTTACTTATAAGTAGGCTCCATGCCCAGTGCGGAGCCCAATGCAGGGCTTGAACTCAGGACCCTGAGATCAAGACCTGAGCTGATATCAAGATTCGGACACTTAGCTGACTGAACCACCCAGGTGCCCCTAAGACGTCTTATTTTTAAAACATTATTTTACTGCCTTCTAAAATTCAGCTAGTGGAACTTCGTATATGAGTGTGTGTAGTTAACTACTACATGCCGGACCGAAGGAAAATGAAGTGTCCAGAACTGCCCACATACAGCATTGCCTACCAAAAGCCGTTAACGACAGTATGTGTCCTGAAGGAATTTTGGGAGGTCTGTTCACCCACACTGGATGGAACTTAAATGATGATGAAAATGAAGGCACATATAAGTGAATTCATGTTCCATGACCATGTATTTCCTAATAGGGAAAAATAGATGCATGTATGTTGATCAATAGAGTTTTATTAAGTAGATCAGCACAGCGCTGTTCTCTTTGTTTTACCGTTCCCTAGCCATACATTATTCACATCTAGAACAAATATTTTACATTCTGAAATAGTTCATTTCCTTCTAAAACTTATCATACTGGCTTCCCAAGAGGAAATAAACAAGCAGGCACATTCTATTAGATGGTCATATGTACAATGTTATACTGAATGCTAGTACATATGTAGGTCCAGTTTCTTAAGACTTTGCCTTTTTGCTATTGGACTAATAACCTTAAATGGAAAAAAACATAGTTTTCCAAGTAATGTCTTAGGATATTTTCCAATTTGTAGATTTTTAAAGAACCATTGAAACTTCATCAAGTCTATCATTAGGTAAAACGATGTTTATTGCCCTTTGTGAATATGCATTAGAATATGCCCTTTGTGAAATCATTCCTGGTTTTGCTGGTAAGAGTAGTAAATGTCTCTTTTCGATGTCCAAAGACTCATAAACATTTGTAGAGATTAAAAATAATCCCTAAAGCAGTCTTGTAACGTGGACTGACCTTTAACCAAATGAGCTTCAGTTTTATCCCTGGGGATCATGGGGGTTGTATTTTATTCTGTAAGTCTCTCATTTCCAAGTCATCGCGTATCTCAATTCTCTATAAGTTTTTGACATCCATGCATGAAAGGCTTTAATTTTAAAGCCATCAAGGGTGATATTCAATACATATTTAAGAACTGGTGTGGTGTGGACAGCAGTCATTAGGATTGATGACTGGCCACGTGGGGATCAGGGCTTGGTGTGCCAGGTCCTAACTTTGAAGTTTCTGGAGGGTGTTGTTCCCTGGAGACGGCCACATGGCAGGGACACACTCAAAGGACCCAAGGCAACAGCTGTTTACTAACTAGGATAAATATGTGTGGATATTTCGGCAATGGTTATGGCTAATTCTGGAGTATCCTAGCTGAATATCAGTCTGGAATGCCAGGATTTTGAGATGTTTTGCCCATGACAAAGGAGGAATGGAAGGGCGCTGGCAAATTCATTCATGGGGAGGTTGAGAGAGCCATTGGCCTTCTGAGGCTCTTCCTAAGAGAGCTGTAAAAACGGTTATGATGATGAGCTTATTTACTCTTCACCCAACAGAGATTTTTTTTTTTTGAGAAATCCTCATGATAAGTAAGTATTGTGCTAAGTGCTGATATTGGAAGGTGAATCGATTTTTGTCTTTAGTGAGTAGTTTGAGAGAGGTGATTCTTTTAAGTGAGATTTTCCCACACAAACAGGAGTTGGCAAAATTGGAGACAGATACTCCAGAAAGTGGTAAAATACATGAAAGTCTGAAAGAGCTTGCTGCCTTACTCAGAGAACGCCGTGTGCCTTGGGCGGCCTCAGCTTGGGCTGTGTATGGCGTGGAGAGACCCTGCAGGTGTGAGGTGTAAGACCCATAACGGTCCTGCACGTCAAGTGCATTGGTCCTTTTCTTGTAGCCGACAGAGTTGATGACTAAGTTTAAACCTGAGGATGCCATGGTAAGACTTGCGTTCTAGAAATACTACTCTTAATATCTTTGCGTATGCACTTGGGTCTCATGAAGGCATCTCACTGGGACTTTCCGAATGTTTGGATAACTCTGTGCTAAACAATTCTTACATGGTTTTTGACCTTAAACCTGGATACTTCAGAAAATATGGGAAAAGTGACAGAAAGATGTCTTTCTACTTACTAAACCTGATGGTAGTGGTCTTTCACAAAAACACACGGTGATTATTAGGTCTGTGTTAGGTATCAAAATGGTCATTTTGTGTCTGAATAATATTTTGTGCAACATGGTCAATTTTAAGAAGCATCCCTGAAACATTCTTATGGAAATGCTATCCCTTGGAAAGCTAAGTGTAACAGACTTGAGTTGTGCTTGGATGCATGTCAAGCTCAAAGTTTGATAGGAGATTTACAGATAAAATCAGAAGTAGAATTACAGAAATCAAATTAAGATTTAAAAATGGCCTTCTAGAAATACTCTTTCTTTGTTTCAGCCGCCCCAAGACAGTGCATTGAACTTTACTTTGATGAAAAGTACTCTATTGAGCCGTCTTGGGAGTGCAAATTTGATCATATTGAAGTTCGAGATGGACCTTTCGGATTTTCTCCAATAATTGGACGTTTTTGTGGGCAACAAAATCCACCTGTAATAAAATCCAGTGGAAGATTTCTATGGATTAAATTTTTTGCTGATGGAGAGCTGGAATCTATGGGATTTTCAGCTCGATACAACTTCACACCTGGTAAGTAAGGGTTTGTTTGTTTGTTTGTTTTTCCCATACAATTATCTTTTTCTTCCTTAGTTTTCTGTCTTCGTAGTAGAAGAACTTTTGTAAGACAGCTTGATATTTTTTCAAAGAATTCTCTAGCTTTATTTAACATCACACCTACCGTGCTTTCTCTTTTGATTTTAGAAATCCTGAAAGGAAGATAAATTTTCCTTAAAATTTAGCTTCCACTAGAGGTGAAGTGTAGTGATTCAGGGGTCTGTATGAACATTAGGAGCAGTTAATTAAATGGACTTCCGTTATGTTGAAATGCGTAATTTGAGAGGCGGCCTGTAAGAAAGCAACTAATTACAGTATACACTGAATCCCTATAAACTTGAAAAGGCAATTGTAGTATTGTAAAATGTATCCATCAAACTGAATTTTGGAGAACTTGATTAAAAATTCTTTTCTTCTGAAAATCATAATTTTTAAGGCAAATGGATCTGAGCATAAAGCAGTCTAATCCCTTTTTAGAAATACAAATTCCTAACAGTTGTGATGAAAGCAAAACAGAGGCCCATGGCAGCCAAGTACTCATTTGCAGGATCTGTAGACATTATCTGTCATTATATAATTATTCACCCTGTGTCCATTTTCCTTCTAACCTGCTAATGTTAAAAAAAAAAGTCTATGATGTTGACTGGCTCGCTTGATGATGAGTTGTCATTTATTAAAATAAAAATTGGTTACCATATTTTTAAATCGCAACATCAGGCTGAAGTGATTTGAGATTTGATGAAGTACAGTCATTTTTTTTAATGGGAAGATGACCCAAACTTACCAAAGGCACATTATTTCTATGTGATCATATTTTTTTCGTTTGCGCATATTGTTTTACTAAGGTTGTAACAGGCGATAGGTGAAATTGGAATCTATGTAAAGTGTGTTGAAGTTTCTATTTCATGTTACAGAGCAGGGCTCTGATCCTCGGTTCAAGCACTGACAATTTAAAAATAATATAAGATTAATGATGACTTTCATTATGATATTACGGGTTATGTTGAATAGGTCATGTATTAACAGTATTGTATGTGTCAACTACAAGCATTGGGGATGTTTTTATAGTATCACTAAGAGATATTGTGGTTTTAATTATGCTTTGTTGATATTGGATTGGTCACAGAAAGCATGGGTGTTTCACATCGGCGATCAGACTAACTTGCTGTGTTCCAAAAAGTTGCAAACACTGAGATTACTTTACTTAGTGCTAGAGCTGTGAATGGAAATTGTTGTTGTTGTTGTTGTTTTTTCGTAATAGATAATTTTGAGTATGGCCAAGGCTTGAAGATAGTTCTGGGTTTTTCATAAGTTATATTTTCATCCTGGGGTTGGAGATCATGGGGATAATGTCCAGGATTTCAAATTGAGGTTGTATGAAGTTGTAGGGTCAACTTTATCAACATCGGCGAGGCGATCCACATTCCCAGCTCTACTGGACATAGCATAAAAGGCGGCGCCCAGTCTGCTTTTCCCAGGGTTTGAAAAAGCCACTGTGTTCCCCACGCGCTGCTCTTTGTGCCTTGTTTCTTTAGAACCGCTTTTACTTTATCTGTATATAAAAGGGGGTTTTATTGCCATGAAGGGCTGAATCAGAAGGGAACGTAAGGAGACGGTTCCATGAAACTGAGGATGAGTTACGAAAGGATTGAGGCTTCTGTTCCCACTCAGATAAAGGAATGAACTAAGTGCACGGGGAGGCGCACATCTGGCTTATGAAGGAACAGTGGGCCCAGGAAAGGGGTGACTGCAGACCCTGACGTTCCGTGGCCCAAAGCCATTGCCTGAGTGGCACAGTAATCTGCTACTCATTCCATAAAGAGCCAATATTGAGGAAGCCAATTAGTTAATGAAAGAGGAAGGGGGCAGTGATTAGGAATCCTTTAGACAGCGTGTAGGGAATAGGGAGGCAGGCAGGCTTCAGTTTAATTTGGGCTTAATTTTGATTTGGGAGGAGGCTTCAAGTGGTGATTTGGCAAAATGGAAGCAGTAGAGTTCCTGAAGTCAACGTGGTGACTTAAATTAGAAGGCGCTGTTGCCATCACCAAGGCGTCCAAGTGACCACCTATTAGAGGGGAGTGTCCTGCCCCCCAGGTCATCCAGGGAGCTGGACCCCAGCACAGCTGTGCGGAACGCTGGCTTGGGGACACAGTCTGGCCTCAGTCCTGGCTTTCCTATTTCTTGCTTGCTGTTAACTGTGGACATGATCCTTAATGTTCTGGGCCTCAATAGTTTAATTTATAAAATAGGGACAATATTGACCACCACACAGGATTGTTTGAAGACTGACTGCTTGCCGACCAATGCATATTTATGGGGTTTTCACTTCAAATACGAGATCTCAACTAAGAGTAGCTATTATTTTTATGAATTTGATCATGTGCTCTTTAAGAACAAAGTGGGGCTTGGTATAGTTTATTCAGAGCTCAACAAGTGTCCCAGAATTTTTAATTTACAACTGCTCTTTCTCTGAGTTTGGGGGTGAATGTGCAACAGTAATACCTAGAAGATGTTACTTTTCCTTATTTGTTTATATGGGTCTAGGCCTCTCTGTGGGGGTTATAGTCAAGTGTGATGGCTCTTATATGTCAAAAGAAGAAGTAGCAGTGGGAAGGCCAGGTGGTCTTTATTATTTTTATGAACTTATTACAATCTGGAATCTGGGTCTTAATTTTTTTTTTTTTTTAATGTTTTATTTATTTCTAGGAGAGAGAGAGAGACAGCGCGAGCAGGGGAGGGTCAGAGAGAGAGGGAGTCACAGATTGAAACAGGCTCCAGGCTCTGAGCCGGCAGTCAGCACAGAGCCCGAAGCGGGGCTCAAACCCACAAACCGCAAGATCATGACCTAAGCGAAAGTCGGACGCTTAACCGACTAAGCCACCCAGGCGCCCCTGGGTCTTAATTTATACTCCCAGAAACTGGAAGTCAGCACACTGATAATGTACCCAGTTTTAGGAATTAGTCCTATCAGCCAAACTAAAAAGGCTGACTATGCATATATACACGTACACACGTGTAAATATATATGCAGTTTTAGTAAGAATTCTTCGAATGACACAGCTCAATTTTTCTTGTAAACAAACATACATCCATGCGTATCCAGTTAATAATCAGAAGACTGTGGTGGCACCTGGGTGGCTCAGTTGGTTAACGTCTGACTTCAGCTCAGGTCGTGATCTCATGGTTCGTGGGTTTGAGACCCGCGTCGGGCTCTGTGCTGACTGCCAGCTCAGAGCCTGGAGCTTGTTTCAGAGTCTGTATCTCCCTCTCTCTCTGACCCTCCCCTGCTCATCCTGTCTCTCTCTCTCTCTCAGAAATTTAAAAAAAAATTTAAAAAAAATAATCAGAAGATTGTAGTGAGTGTTGAATGCAAATATGAAAGCTTAATTATATAAATGCCTGTTGCATAGCTCCCAGCTCAGGTACTTGATGAGGTACCTTCACAGCCCAGAGTGTGTTTTCAGGGGCGCCCCACATCTCAGACTGCCAGGGGGCAGTCCCCCGTCCAGTCTCTGCTTGCATCCTGCTTGACTGGGACACTAATCTGTGTCAACTCTTGTTGCAAAATTTTGTTTCTATTTCTTAATATCTGAGTCTCTTTGACTTTTCTTCCTGTACAGCTTTAAAAAATAGCCTTTTGATTTGGGCTCTTATGTTCCTAGTAGCTCTGCTTCTGGACTGGGGGTGGATGGGGGCTAGCTAACTGGAGGTCACGGGTGGAGGTCATGTGTGGATGGGGGCTAGCTAACTGGAAGTCACGGGTGGCTATGCAGGGAGATAATGCCATGGAAACACCATTAAAGGGGGTATTTCCGGGGCACTTGGGTGGCTCAGTTGGCTGAGTATCAGACTCTTGATTTTAGCTCAGGTCATGGTCCAAGGATTCCAGGATTGAGCTCTGCTTTGGGCTTGGCGCTGGCAGAACAGAGCCTACTTGGGATTCTCTCTCTCTCTCTCTCTCTCTTCCTTCATCCTTCTCTCTCTCTCACATTCTGTTTTTCCTTAAAAAAATATGGGGGGTATTTTCTGTATCTTGTGACACATCGAACTAGTCCTCACTCTTTATCTCATGGATTACGGTTACTTCTGGATCCCGTGTCCGCACTCAGGCGTGCAGTGCACTGATGTCGCCTAGGGGGTAGCCGAGCACGCATGAGGGTTGTGACACTGAGCGCCATCAGAGAGAGTCATTGAGTCCAGTCCTGCGATCTGCAGAAACCAAGCACAAGGGTGAGCCCCGGAGAAGGGCAAGGGGGTCCCGAGCTGTGATGGGAGGCTCCGGGTAATGGCCGCAAGGGAACCTCTCTTCTTCCTGTGTGAACAGAGTTGTGTTGTGATGTCCCCTCACCGGTCCTCTCCCACTTCTGAGAAGAGGGATGGGTTCAGAATCACTGAAAATGTTAAAAGTTACATGATGGAAAATTTGGTCGCCCACAGATGATTTAATGAGAAAACATATATAAAAGTACTTGCGGTAATAAAATTGTATTATTGTCTCATAGGCCTTTTTTTTTAATCTTAAAGATTTAAATCAAATGTCCTGCAGAAAAATGAATAATGATTAGCCTAGGGAGGGGGTGGAGGAGAAGAATGAGGAAAAATCGAAGGGGCCCAGATGGAGATATAGTAAAAATTTATTAGGATTATTAGTAGCACTTTCATTTTTGAAAAGGATGTTATATATCATTGGTACTACTTCTACAAATAAAAGTATTTAAGATAAAAAATAAAAAAGGAGACAATACTATAGTGGGTAATTTTTAAATGATTTTTCAGAGCAGAGGTGTACCGTTTCTTTGTAGTCCACAGTTGTTTGGGGTTTTTTTTATTTGTTTTTTGTTTTTGTTTTTGTTTTTGTTTTTACTCAAACTGAGAATGCTTTTCCAGTAGAAAATAATTCTCCCTTAGCCAGCTGCCTGCATGTTTCAATGTTCTTTAAGGCTGGAAAATATAAATGAAGGAGAAACTTGTAACAT